AATCAAGATATCTAACTATAAGCCGGTCAACACACGACTTAAGCTGAACGGTAAGAACATTGATACGGAGGAGGAGAAAGAAGCAGATGCAAAAGAATACCAAAGCATGGTGGAAAGTCTTATGTACTTAATGCACACAAGACTAGATCTAATGTTCGCTGCGGGTTATCTTTAAGATTCATGAGCAAATCGGAGATGACACATTTCAAGCAAGCAAAGAGGTTATTAAGGTATGTCAAGAGAACCATTGATCTTGGCTTACACTTCAAATCCAAAAACTTTGTAATGTTGCAGGGATATTGTGATAGTGATTGAGTCGGATGCCAAGAAGATCTGAAAAGCACAAGTAGTTCTATGTTCAAGATAGAAGGAGTAATATTCTCATGGCAGACACAAAAGCAAGAAGCGATCGCACAATCAACAGTGGATGCAAATTATATCTCAGTGGCAACTGCGGTGAACCAAACCATATGACTTCGGAATCTACTTGATAGTCTTGGATGTAAGCAAGAAGGGAGCACACCGATCTTCTGTGACACCCTAACCCGTATCCCACATTATGAATTGTGTCACATGGACAATTTAAAATAAAACACAATTCCAAAAATCCGCGGGAATTTAAAACTTTTCTTTTTCAGAGTTAACGGAAGAAAACATTCATACATACATATATAATACATCATTTCTAGTTATAATTATGCATAGTCGAGTGGTAGTATAACATTATTATAATCCGTGAAAGTCTACAACCGATACAATACAAAACCGTTCCCCAGAATATAAGTGTATCACAGTACATAATTATACATATATATGCATTTCCGCTTGGATAGTCTTTTAATTCTTTTTATAATCATTTATATATTTCTTTTCGGTCTATCCAGTTAAATTACCGAGTTGTACCTCCGAATTGACTTATCTGGTCCCAGTCCGCCCAGATAACCAATTCAGTTCATTCTGGGTTTTTAAACTTACATGTTTATCCATTTTGGGTTCAAACTACGTGGGGTCCGGTCTGACTCGTATTTTCAATTTATTTTTACATTTTTCTATTTTTCACTAAACTGAATCGGTTCAATACCGAGCCAGACTAGTGTAGTTTTGCTCTCCCTCACCCGATGTATTTTCAACGTTCCATTATTGTTTTTTTTTCGGGTCGGTCTGATCTCAGACCGATCGGTCTAATTCGTTCAGACCGATCGATCTAATTGGTTCAGACCGATCAGTTTAATTGGTTCAGACCGGACGATCCAACTTCTCCAGAACAGACAGTCTAGGTTGTCCAGAACTGATGGTTCTAGACTTCGTCTTCAACCTCTGGACTTCATGTTTTCTCCCGCAACCCTGGACTGGACGGTCTGACCTCAGGCCGGACGGTCTAGGCCTCAGATTTCACCAAAAACACTCAAACAAGCATGATTCGCTATGAGCAATACACTAAAACTCATAAAATCTCATGTTTAACGCGAATCAAACATAAACTTTACACGAATCACTCAAAAACCCAAAACTCCATGTCAATAGACTTCCGAATTAAACTCGAATTCACTCACTTCGGGTTAACTTCGTGCGTTGGGTGTTAAATGGGAAGCTTGGCGATGCCCCTCGTACTCCGCAGGAACCAATTTGAGCCTTAATTTCTTAGATTTACGATGAAATTTTTCGAATTTGCAGAGAGGGTTGAGTATTGGGTGTGATGATGAAGAGCTGGACCGTCCAGTCCGGTCTTTCCGGTTCGTCCGATCTAGTTTTTTTTTAATCTTGGGCTGTTACATCTTCTATGACAAGAGCTCAACTATTTCCATTGGAAGAAATCCCGTTCAACATGGAGGACGAAGCATACCAACATCAAGGACCATGTGGTTACAGAAGCAGAGCACAATGGAGTCATCGAACTCACATATGTCAAAGGAGAGGAATAGTTGGCGGACATCTTCACAAAGACATTAGGAGCCTCAAGCTTTGAAGAGTTGAAGAAGAAACTTGGGGTGATAGACAAATAAATCAAAGAGGAGTACTGAGAATTTGATTCATTCGTTTATGTGACGATTATATAATGCTTACGTAAAACTATTACATCATGATGATGTAATGCTTATTTAAGGAGTTGTAGAAGTTTGAATTTGTATGTCTTAGGTGATTGAAGAAAATAAGATATGATAGGTGTGATTTAATATAAATAATGGGTGTTGTATGGAGTTTTTCATATCAAACATTTCAAAACATTTCTAAGCATTTTTCTCTAAAAAATTTCCTATTTTCTCTCTTTTGATATTTTTTTTATAAGTTCTAAATATAAGTGTTATAAATTTTAGATATTTTTTCATTTTGTTTTGCATTATATACCAGAGAAGAATAATTAAGAAACCTATGAATGAAAATATAATACAAATTTCATAACAAAACCTAGTTATTATTGCAAGGGATCTATTGATGATTCTCGTGGGGAGCTTCTAGTCTCACGTGTGTTCTTCTTCATACATATACGAGTTCTTTTTCGGTACACATATGAGTTATGTAATGAAATTCGTTTGCATTGTCGTTTTTGTAAGCAATCTTATCATTTTTTAGATATCGATGTGATTTATAAATAATAAAATATCTGAAATTTTCTAGAATTCAGGTAGAGATTCGGATTTCACAAACAAATTATCTGTAACTGAAGTTCGAGTTTTGATTTTACAATTTTATCGGTCGGATATCATCCGTAATATTATTATTATTATTATTATTATTATTATTATTATTATTATTATTATTATTATTATTATTATTATTATTATTATTATTATTATTATTATTATTATTATTATTATTATTATTATTATTATTATTATTATTATTATTATTATTATTATTATTATTATTATTATTATTATTATTATTATTATTATTATTATTATTATTATTATTATTATTATTGGGTATCCGTATTATTATTATTTTAGACTTTGATAACTACACATATTATTTTCAAAATATTGAGGAAGATATTTAGTTTCTTGACAATAATAAAATTGTATCGATAGGGTTTGTAGCTACCAAACAAATATAGAAATGCAGATTTTAATTTTAATTTCGGTATTTTGCTACCCGAATATGTTGACCGATATGAAGGTTTTGGTCGAAAACCGACGACAAAGTTTGAATTTACATATGTTTAGATGTCAAAAATATTTCTGGGTAATCAATATCTAAATACTATGAATATATAATCGCATTTCAAAACATTCAATTCCATATATTTAGTTTTGGATTTGAATAAACCAAAATTTTGGATACCCGGCCCACAGAATTTTTCACCTTTTAACTATAGAACAAGGAATCACGTAACCAAAATTAGTGAGAAATTCTGACATATAACTGTGAGCATCTTACAAAATCGTTGTCTATTTTACGCATAAATGTAATGTACGATTATGTCGATGTGTTCTCAGATTTTTTTTTTTGAATAACATTATATTTTTCACAATAAATATTAAACACGGTCCATTGAAAAATTCTTAGGAAAAAAAAAACCATAAAGAAGGTTAGTTGGAGGAATCTTTTTATATTCAAAGTTGATAATGAACCAAAGGCTCTGTCTACTATCTAGTGAACTCCAACTTGAGTTAATTCCAATAATAAAGTTACATTAGTGGGAAGTCAGTTTTTCCTCACGAATTTTTTTTCTCCGCAATATATTTTATTTACACAAAAGTTAGATATAATAATGTGATAATATAAAATTTGGAGTCCCAATCATTACGGAGGCGAATTGCTCAACTTAAAAAAATATTCATGATTTGTCACCAATTTTAATATTAATTTTTATCTTTTTTTTTTGGAATATTTCCCTCGTGTTTAATATAAATTTATATTAGAAACGAGCCTAAATTATAGGAAAATAGACTAAAAAAATAATATGGAACGAGGTCGCATCAAATTAAATTGGAATTGAGTTTTTATTTAGTTCAATATCTTCCGGTCCAATATAAAACCGAATATGGATAGAACCGATTGAAATAATATAATTGTTTCTGAAATTCTCCGATTTAAGCTTTTAATCCAAGAAGACTTGAATAGAATTTAATTTGGCTTAAATTAATGAGCTTTTAAAAATAGAATGAACCAATCCTAAAATAAAACCCTAAACGAACAGATATTTTTGGAAGAAAAGTGATAGCTGATGTAGAAAATCTTATGTGATAGCAGAATATGATTGATTATATTATGGTGCCTAGATTTTGTATTTTGTTTTTATATTATTTGTTTTAAAAATATAAAAGTGAGTAAGACAGAAGAATATTTAAAAAAAAAAAATAGATTCAACCACTTCAAAAGTTTTCTTCTATGTTAGTATTTGAAATACAAATTTAGAGATGATATTCTAAATTTATGTTAAAAATGATATTCTAAATTTTACAAAACATAATTCTTGCAATTGTGATAATCCATTGCTAGATGAAATTATTCCCAAGTGAATGTTTCTGTTGAGAAATTCACTGCCAAATGGTGAAGCAAATTAGGCTTTTGCTCCTCAATTCTTTATAAAAGCCTAGAATTTGTCCCTTTGTTGATGCATAGAGACGATTTATATACATATATATATATATATAATCTTTGGTTCAACGAATGATGCTCTATAATCTTTATTTCTGTTTTCTTTATAAAAAAAATTTAGGTTCCTTTTGATTTTTATAATGCGAATCAAGAACCCACTTCCATGCACCCCAAAAGAAGTTCCACTCAACGATAAAATTCATAAAAAAAAAAGTCCCCCCCAAAGACGATGAAAAAAGCTAGTGAAGGATGATCATTCATACGTGGGTCTCGTAAAGATATTCAGATTCTCTGCGTTATCATGAAGCATTCGTTGTTTCTTATCATGATGATGATGATGATGATGATGATGCATGATGCATGACCATGATCTTTCATGCTTCTCTGGAAATTTCAAGAAAACTGATAAAAATCTTTCGAAACACAGATGAAACATCAGTAGAAGTTTAGTAGCTCTCTGATTAACATTTTATACGCATTGAATATGTCTGTATACATAAGATTAGCATTAAGTACAATCTATATATATATATATATGTATGTATGTATGTAGGTATGTATAAATACATAGATGCTCAAGAATCTGACTCTCTATGGTTCACATGGTTTCTTTGTCTTAGCTACATGATCTGACGAAGCATCTCTTGCCTTGTTTGACGGCTCAAACCTATGAGGCGCCGCATCAATGAGCAACTGAACCACTTCGTTCATCGTGGGACGGATGGTGGGACTCCTGCTCGTGCAACGGATGGCCACTCGAAGGGCATTGATCATGAATTCTTTGGACAAATCCGATAATCTTTTGTCTAATGTCTCCATTAGCCCTTCCTTTGTGTCAATCTTAGTCGAAACCCAATTAACGATGTTCTTGTTCTCACCGAAAGCTGAATCCACGGGTTTCTTCCCCGTTATCAGCTCCATTAACACGACCCCGAAGCTGTAAACATCGCACTTGACTGTTGCTTTCGAGGAATATGCAAACTCTGTCAGGAACCAAAAAAATGCAGAATCTTATGAACTGTCATGAACTTTGGTCATTTTCAGACAAAACAATAACAAAAGTAACATGTATGAATCTACTCTTTTGTCTGTACCTGGAGCCAGATAACCGTAAGTACCCGCGATAACCGTCGTGGTAGAGTCTTTACCCCTCGCTTGTAGGACCTTAGCTATGCCAAAGTCTGCAACTTTAGGCTGGTAATTGACATCTAACAAGATATTTGTGGATTTGATGTCTCGATGAATAATGGGCGGGGAGAGATCGTGGTGAAGGTAAGCTAATCCTTGAGCTATTCCGACTGCGATCTGATGACGAGTAGGCCAATCGAGAAGGACAATGCCCTTGTGAAGTGAATCCCACAAGTTTCCATTAGGCATGTACTCGTAGACCAATAGACTGCAATCCGAACTCGAGAAGTAGCTGTAGAGCTTGACGATGTTCTTATGGCGAATGCTACCTAGGGTTTCGACCTCGGTTTTCAGTTCCTTGTCCAAATGTACACTGTCTTCAGCTGCAGTGTCTTTGGTTCTTCTGCTCCACAGTTTCTTTACTGCAACTACTTCCCCACTCTTAAGCTCTACTCTGTACACAGTGCCTGATCCTCCATGCCCGACGATGTTCTTGTCAACCATAGCTTCATGAATCTCTCTTTGATCGAAACTTACTCTGTGGAAGCTCTTCACGTCGTAGGAGAAGAAAGAAGAAGCTAGGGTTTCGTCATGTTCCACCACTGATCTGTCTTTGCTGAACCTCTGTCTCAGGTACAGCATAGCTCCTAGGACAAGGACGAAGACCGATACGAGGATCGCCCATGTGGAACTCAGCTTCTTCTTGCTGTGAGCCTCGGGACATAACGGGAACTTGATCTCTGATGAACCAGAATTCGGTGGAACACACAGACCAGGGTTGTCTGAAAAGCTCTCAACCAGGCCTCCTCTGATCAGAGAAAGAGGAATTGGCCCAGAGAGACGGTTGTTGGAGAAATTGATCGAAGTTGGTAACAGTTCAGAGAGACTTTCCGGGATTTTCCCTGTGAGGAGATTGCTCGAGAGATCGAGAACATTCAGAGATTTCAGAGATGAAAGCGAATCTGGAATGGAGGAGCTGAGCCGATTGCCTTGCAACATAAGTAAATTCAGCTTCCTCAGTCTACCGATCTTCGAAGGTATCGGACCTGACAAATCATTGTTACTGAGATCAAGCTTTACCAGATTCGTTGCACGGGAGATCTCGGGAGGTATAACACCGGAGATTCTGTTTCCCTGCATGAACAGTTCCGACAAGTTCCAAGCGTTTCCGACCACGTTGGGTATTGGACCAGACAAGTTGTTGTAAGCCAAGTCGATTATCGAAACATGGGGAAGAGACATGACTCCGTAAGGGACAGACCCTTCTAACCGATTATTCGTAACTCGGAACCGTATTAGAGTCTTGCAGCTTCCATAAGTCTCGGGGATTTCACCAGAGAACATGTTTTGCAAGACGAGGAAGTAAAGAAGCTTACCAGACCTGCAAACTTGGCTTGGCAGAGGACCCGAAAGCCGATTCTCCGAAACATCGAGAGCAATCATAGGAGACAACGACCCGAGATTCTTGGGAAGCTCGCCGGTCAAGAAGTTGTCATAAAGAGAGAGAATCCTCAACGTTGTTGAGTTCCCTAGAGCATTTGGAATCTCTCCTGTCAAGCTGTTGTTGTAAAGCTGAAGAACTCGGAGCTTCGGGAGACTGCAAACCGATTCCGGTATGCTCCCGGTTAGCTTGTTAACCGAGATATCGATGTCAGTAAGCTCCTTGAGATTACCGATTTCCTCCGGTATGCTTCCCGTCAAATGGTAATTGTAGTACAGCTCAAGCTGTCTGAGGTTAACCAGATTCCCCAGCTCTTTAGGAATCTCACCAGAGAGGAAATTCCCACTGAGCTCAAGATCGACAATGGAGGTCATGTTCCCGATCGATCTGGGTATGTTACCGTATAGCATACATGTCATCAACAGCATCTCCCGAAGCTTTGTCAGTCTCGAGATGTTCTCGGGGAGTTGCCATAAGTTGAGCTCTGCGTTTTCGTTGAAGTTGAGGTACTCGAGATCGGTGAGGCTGAAAACCGAGACGGGGAAGTTTCCGGTGAAGAGATTATAGGACATGTCAAGAACTCTGAGAGATTTCATGTCGGAGAAGTCGGGGAGATTTGTCCTGAGGAAGACGGAACTCATGTTGAGCTCCTGAAGAAGAGAACAGTTTGCTATGCTGAAGAGGAAGCTTCCATGGAAACGGTTGTGCGAGAGCCGAAGAACGCGTAAATCCGGGAGATACGAGCATATACCTTCGGGGAAATTCCCCGAGAGAGACCAACCGGAGAGATCGAGATCTGTGACAGAGCCTTGATCATCACAAGCAACACCAGTGAAGTTGCAGTGAGAGTTTAAGTCACTGGGATCCCAAGAAGACAAAGCGTCACCGGAAAGAGAACTTGTCATGAGCCTGAAGAACTCTGTCTGGTTAGGACCTAGACTCCATGAATTCTTCAGAAGAAAGAAGAAGAAGAGAACAGGAAAGAGACCAAAATTGAAACCCATTTGAGGAAAGATCACAAGGAACGGGTAGAGGTTAACTTAGGATGCAAGAAAGGAGTTTATATCGTTGTGGTGAGAGAGGAGAAAAAAAATGAAATAAAGGCTTATAAAACACAAGGAGGGTTCATATATGCTTGTAGTATTCAGATAGATACATGGAAGAAGAAAGAAAAAGGAGCATACATATCTTTGCTTTGCATAAAGAAGCTTTATGTTTATACCCACTAACATATAATAGAGAATATAACTTGGAGGTGTATGTATAGCCACCTTTATACCCCATTTGTGTGTGTATATATATGCATGAATAATGAAAAATAAATTAGATGTAAGTGAATCGGATACTAAAGAAGAAGAAGTGCATGTTAACCTGTCCAAGAACCTTGCTGTTTGTTTGGACATGTTTTTTTTTTTGGTTTGGCCTATGGTTGGACGGACAAAAACCATGAGAACTTGATCTTACTTTTGTCTTGCAGATTTCAGTAGTGTTTTTGAAGCTTAAACACCTTCCTAATATAAATACCGAAGATTGCCTCGTTACTATATTTTCTTTAAATGTTGTGAACGATAAAATCCAACAAAACTTCTAATTGTATCGATTTTTTTATGATATATAGTAATGAAATTTATAAAGTTTTTTTTACATAAACGAAATTTATGCTAAACCATCCGAAAGATAACATTTATGAGGAAAAGTTTAAAAAAAAAAAACCAGCTAACCCTACAACAAACGCATGTAGTTAAAAAGAAAACAACCTCCAACGACATCATAGTATTGCTATGATTTGGTGTTATTATCCGGGATATAAAATGAACAGAAAAATAAATCGGAAATTGAATAACTCTTCAAGGTGTGAAACACTTTTCTAAAAACGTTATTCCGTCCTATACGAGCAAAGGACTTCCCCGAAATATGTTTTTAAGATACAATGAAGAGAAAAGTGATCTTAGTTTGTTATTCTAAGATCACAAACACAAGAAACCGCAAAAAGAAGATGAACAAAAAGTTTTTGTGAGTGTTTTGCAAGAACAATCACAAAAGTGCTCTCAAATATCTCAAAAACAGATTAGATCTGTTCTTTTTTTTCGTGTTGGGATATCCAGGAGTATTTATATACACTCGAAATGTTGAAAGTTATGAAGAATTCAGAAGTTTTTCCTAAACGGTCGCGATTTTCCGTTCATTCAAACTGCTCAGAAAAAAAGAATTGTCCGTCCGTTTTTTCGAGCTATCCGCCCATTTATTCCCGAACTGCTCAAAAAAAAAAACGGGATGCCCTCTCGTTTTTTCGAGCTACCGCCCATTTATTTATGAGCTTTATTCCTTAGAAAAAACAGGCTGCCCTCCCATGTATTCGAGCTGCCTTCCCAATTTTCTGAGATCACTCTTCACATTCAAAACCGAACGTAAACTCTTCCGACGAATCCTTAACACTTAACCAATTCGTAACACGTCTTTTACAAGCATTTAACTCCTCCATCATACTCGTAATACACGTGAAGCATGAATCCTTTTGAGGGATTTTAAATTTCCATTCATTTAATCTAAATATCACAACAATCCTCCACCATTTTTAGAGTAAATTAAACAATAGCATATCAAGCAAATAATCATTCATCTCCATAATTCTGCGTATAAATGAAAGTGTCTTTACGATTGAACTTTCACTTAGTGTAATATACAACAATAAACTCGAATTCCGTAGGTGTCGAAAACGATTGAACCTACGTAATCCTAGTTGAGCTACCGAGTATACACACACACAGAATCAATACAATTTCTTGTACTCCTTGACACTATATCGGCCATGTGTCCATATCCCCTTCACAAGCACATAGATGCTGAGCCTCCAACATCTTGAAGCAGCCACACTTCATGCTTGCATAGGTGAATTCTTTCAAATCGTACTCTGCAACTAAACACTTTGTCAAAGAATTCATTAAGTATAAACAACCTCTTTATATTGCATGCCAAGATGCTTACATCGAGATGATTCACTTCTAAGCATCTACAACCACACATTACAAGATTTAACCCATTGAACTCAAGATCTAATGTTGTATTAGACATTGAGTTGAGATTCCTCTAATTGTAATTGAATCAATAGGCTCAAAACTCATCCCTATTGTCATTTTGTGCAACATGTCTCTTGACAAACTCTTGGTAAGAGCATCAGCCAAGTTTTGTTTTGTACGCACAAAATCCACCACTATGGCCCCGTCTTTTATAAGACCATTCACATAGCTATGTCGTAAATCAATATGTCTAGACATTCCCTTATACACATGACTATATGCCTTAGCCAAAGTCGTTGCGCTATCACAATGTATTATGATAGACGATACCGGTTTAGACCATAATGGTATCTCGAATACCAGATTCCTTAGCCATTCTACTTCTTTTCCCGCAGATGCTAAGGTAATAAACTCCATCGTCGAATCGAAAATGCAAGTTTGTTTCTTGGAAACCCAAGAAATCGCAGTTCCACCTAATAGATAAAGTCAACCACTCACTGAGACGATCCTCCTCACTTGAGTTCCAACTCGCATCCGTTAACCTTCTAACACCGAAGGTTGACCCGTGTAGTGAAGACCGTATTTATTTTTGTTTCAAGTATCGAAATACTCTCCGTACAGCATGCCAGTGATGTACGCTTGGGTTACTAGTGTACTTACTGAACTTACTAATCACATAAGGGTCTAGTGCTAGTCATAGCATATATTAAGCATCCAATGACACTAGCATATTCAAGTTGAGATACCGGTTTCGCTTTATTCACTACCAATTTAACATCATAGTCCATCGATGTAGAAACAATAGTGCTATCGTAGAGATCAAAACGTTTCAGAACTTTCTCAATGTAATGAGATTGAGGAAGTGAAATCGTACCGTGATCTCTCATTATCCTAATTCCAAGGATAACATCCGCTTCTCCTAGAACTTTCATCGAGAATTTTGATGACAATAATTCTTTTGTTTTCTTGACCTGCTCTAATTCCATACCGAATATGAGTATATCATCCACGTATAAGCAATTGATAACCCATGACCATTCCCGTCAAACTTGCTATATTCGCATTTGTCCGATTGATTCAGACGGACCCCGTTAGCCAATACTACCTCAATGATTTGACTAACTTACACACTTTGTGTGCTTGACCAGATAATACGAAACCTTTCGGTTTGCTTCGTATACATCACCTCTTCAAGATCACCGTTTAGGAATGTCGTCTTAACATCCATTTGGTGAATTACCACATTGTTTATCGTTGCAAGAGCGATCAACAATCTAATTGTAGCTATTCTAGCTACCGGTGCATACGTATCAAAGAAATCGATACCTTGTTTTTGTCCAAAACCTTGAGCTATGTACTAGACGAGCCTTGAACTTATCAATAGTTCCATCGACTCTCATATTCTTTGTGAAGATCCATTTGCAATTAATAGGTTTACAATCCGGAGGAGGAGGATCTACTAAGATCCATGTCTTGTTATTCATGATGGAATCTATCTCATCATTTATCACTTCTTTTCAGAAAGTGACATCTCGTGATTTCATCGCTTCATCGAACATTCTAGGATCTTCCTCGATATTATAGACGTAAGCAAGCTGAGTCACTACTGACTCGTTTGTACCTTCCACTAAGTACATCTTAAAGTCCGAATGAAAGGATTTCTCTTTCCTTATACGTTTACCTCTAAGAGGTTCACATTGTTCGTTATCTTGATCGATTGATTGACCATTCAAACTAGGTATTGAAATAAGTGGTTTATCCACCGAAGAAAATCGACTTTCATCGAACAATGCATCTCTCGACTGAACCTATTCAAGATCTTGGCAATGTATATACTCTGACTTAGACCAAGAAGTCATCTTGATAGATCTCTATAGATCTTGATGCCTATAATATAGGCGATTTCTTCTAAGTCTTTCATCGAAAAGACCAATCCTAATAAAGATTTTACTCCTTGCAAAGTAGACACATGATTTCCGATGAACAATATATCATCTACATAAAGCACAAGGAAGATCAGTACGCTCCCATTGACCTTCTTGTAAATGCATGGCTCATATTCATTTTGCAGGAATCCAAACGTTTTGATTGCCTCATCAAATCAAGTATTCCAGCTCCTCGAAAAACAATTCATAAATAGATCTCTGAAGCTTACATACCTTCCTTAGACTCCTAGGATCAACAAAACCCTCGGGATGGGTCATGTACACATCCTCGAGCAGAATCTCGTTAAGAAATGCGGTCTTGACATCCATCTGTCATATCTCGTAGTCATAATACGCAGCTATGGCTAGTATAATCCGTATGGATTTAAGCATCACGACTGGTGAAAATGTTTTATTAAAGTCTATACCATGAATTTGCCGAAACCCTTTCGCAACAAGTCGTGCCTTGTAGGTATGCAATATGCCATCCATGTCGGTTTTCTTTGAAACCCCACTTGCATCCCATGGTCTTAATACCATCGAATGAGTCGAGCAAAGTCCACACTTTATTGTCGTCATGGACTGCATCTCAGACTCCATAACTTGGTTCCATTTCTCGGTATCGGGACTCCCACAGCCTCTGAATATGATGTAAGCTCGCCATCCTCTAATAGCATGAGTTCGTCATTTCTAGTCACAAGAAAATCGTATCTTGTGGGCTCTTGGTGAATTCCACCTGATCTTCGAGGTTCACTGGGAGGTGATGCCTCAACAACTTATGATAAAGGTTGAACCAATTCGACCTGCTCACCTGGTTCTTCGACTATCTGTGGATCTCAAATTTCTTCGAGATCTATTCTACTCTCACTGACTCTCTTAGAGACGAACTCTCTGTCCAACAAAAAACCATTCCGATCAACAAACATTTTATTCTCGGATAGGTTGTAGAAGCAGTACCCTTTATTTTCCTTAGGGTAACCCACAAATACGCATTTATCAGATTTGACAGATATCTTATCAGAAGTCAGACTTTCACATAAACGTCGTGTCTCCAAATCTTCATAAATGACAACCTGAGATGTTTCCCAGTCCATATCTCATATGGTGTCTTTTTAACAGATTTTGTTGGACAATTGTTTAGTACTAGCACTGTTGTTTCCAAGGCGTAGCCCTAGAAGGATTTAGGAAGA